ATGAAAATCTTGCAAAGAAGTCCAGAAAGATAGGTAGGAAGAGAACCACAACAATATCTGAAAAGTCTAGGAAAGAAAAAAGTTTCCTTAAGTGGGTGGGTCCTCTCAGTGGTGTCAAATGCTACAGAATGGTCAGTAAGGATGAGGATTAAGAAAAGGCTACTTGACAAGGCACATAACCACACTGCAAGCATGCTAGGTCATCTTTATGCTGTCATATCTCTGTGAAATGGAAACAGTCTGAAATACCTTAGAAAATGATTAACATTTAGAAACTTTCTTGCCCAATCTTGAGGGACAATATGTGGAAACAAACAGCCAGATACATTTTTCTTTTAATACTCTGTATAACAAGCTAAATAACTGATTTCGACCCTTTTCTAACAATAATTAGTAAAAAAAATATTTAGTAGTATCCCATTGCATAAGAGGAAACTAGTTTCTGTTTACTTCTTTGCTTAAAGTATAGGTTAATCAAGTCAAAGACTACTAAACATAGTTTTTTAAATTACTTTTAGAAAACCACAAGATAAAAACTTGTTTTTTTCTTATCTATAAGCTAAATGGAGAGTGACAGCAATATGTTTAGAGCATTAGAAAAAAAATGTTGATTAATGTGTTCTATGCTATGTTTATTAATATTTGTTTGTAAATTTTTTTACAGTTATAGAAATTAAGATGTTTCCTCAAATGTGATACAACTTAGAATAATTGCCTTATTTTCTCTCTACTCCTATCGACATATATAATTGCTCATCAATGCCTTACTGTATTTTATAGAGTACAAAATATGTCAGTATCAAAATGTTTATCTGTTTCAATAGCATTTAATAGAATCAATAAAAGCAACAGAAACTTTAGCGATCTAATTTGTAATTACATTAAATAAAACTTAAGTATAATATACTTGAAAAATAAAAAAAGAAAAGGCCACTGGATTTACCAATAAAAAGATCATTTGGGAGAGCAGATGGAGTCAATAAGCCAAGGAAAGAAAAACTGACACTTTTGGGTCAGACCTTCAGGATAGAATCTGGTCCATCTGAGCCTAAAGTGCTTGAGGAAACTTAGACAAGTTACAGTGGATGGAAGTTTGAATCATTGTTAGGCCTTGATTAAATTGATGACAAAATCCTCCCCTAGGCCATGAGACAAAGACCAAGTACTCAAGAATGAGAGCCCCGGACAGCTTTTTTTTTTAATAGATGAGGCATAGGGGTGACTGATCTTTAAGTCTGATATCAGACCTACACTTTTAGACCATTACTTTGATAGCTAGGTGGAAGGTGGACTGAAATAGAGAGATACTTGAAGGGAGAGCAACCAGAAGATTATCACAATAGTCCTGGTGTGAGGTGATGAGGTGATGCAGATTTTGGCTTGGAGAGATGTTATAAAGGTAGAATAAACAAGGTTTGGCTATTGATCAGCTATTGGTTGGGGGGAAGGTAAAGGGAGGAGGGAAGTGCTCCATTGCTCTTGGTTCTGCCCTCTGGGCCCAAACTGAACCAATTAAATCCCTTCAAATATAACAACTACTCTGTCCTCCTCTCCCTCCCTGATCAGTCTTCTCTAGGCTAGACACATGCAGCTTCTTCAATCTATCCTCATATTACACAGATTCGAAACTCTGCAAATTGGCAAATGCAAATGAACTAAGGGGCCAGAATGCCCTGCAGCCATCGCTCTGTCAACATTGGTCATTGCTCGCCTTTAAGCAGTACAGTTATCTTAGTATGTCAATAGATAGTTCCCTGTCCAGTCCTCAGAAGAGCCTGTGTCTCTTTTCACTGTTTTATGTGAAAGACATTGTTGAAATATAGTTTCTACACAGAAATGTTCTTTTTACTGCTCCTTTATCAACCAAACTGTTCACAAATTAAAAGAATAATACCTTAGAGAAGAATACTGGAAGGGAAAGTAAACAAGTTGTCAAAATTCTAAGACCAGAGCCCAAAAGCTGGACATCCACATTAGCCTCCAAAGCTGGGGAAAACAAGCAAAATAGATATTGTAGCATTAGAACCCAGAAGACCCACAGCTCTTCTGTAGTAATTATAAAGTCATGAGATTGATTTGGTTGTGGAAATTTCCTGATTTGGATTCCTTAAGAGCCTTGCCCCCTATCAAGCCTGTAAGACTGCAGGTAAAATAAAATGAGCAACCAAATTAAAAGGAAAAGAAATTCATTGTGTGCAGAAAGGAAGACTGCTTGGGCTACTAGCACTTTCAGCTCCTTAGGGTACAGATTATAATACATAAATCAGCAACATTCCAAAACAGAAAAGAAATGAGAGAAGTGTGCAAATCTTGGGGTAAAGGAGGTGATAAAGGTCAGGTTTGCTCTTGTGAGAAACTGTGTTTCTTGGTGGTTAGTTTTATCAGAATATCTTATGTAGGCAGCAAATAAGATGATGAATGCCTCCTTCAATATAGAATAAATTGGGCTCATCCTGCTGTTGCCACTAAGAAGAGGAATAAAATACAGCCTGAGGGTTTTCTATTTATGCAACCCTATAACTCTGTTTCCTTTGGACCCAGAAGTTACTAGGAAGAAGATTCTACCAAATTCACAATTTGCTTCCTCCACAATTTCCACATATGAATTGTGGAATCAGTCTTGTGATACTAATTAATATTTTAAATGATTCTTTTGATCTCAACAACTCTTTTTTTCCTTAATAGCATCTTATTTTTTCAAATTACTTGTAAAGATAGTTTTCAACATTCACTTTTATAAGATTTTGAGGTCCAAATTATTTTCTCCCTCCCTCCCTGCCCCCTTCCCAAGATGGCATGCAATCTGCTATAGGCTATACATGTACAATCACATTAAACATATTTCCACATTAGTCATGTTGTGAAAAAAAAATCAGAACAAAAGGGAAAACCATGAGAAAGAGAAAAAAGAGAAAATAGTATGCTTTGATTTGCATTCAGACTCCATAGTTCTTTCTCTGGAAGTGGATAGCATATTCCATCTTCAGTCTTTTGGAATTGTCTTAGAATTAGATCATTGCATTGTTGAGAAGAACTAAGTCTATCAGAGTTGGTCATTGCACAGTGTTGCTGTTACTATGTACAATGTTCTCCTGGTTCTGTTCACTTTACTCAATATCAGTTCATATAAGTCTTTCCAGGCTTTTCTGAAATCTGTCTGCTCATCATTTCTTATAGAAATTTATTCCAGTACTCCAGTATTCTAGTACATTCATATACCGCAACTTGTTCAGCCATCCCCCAAGTGATGGGCAGCCACTAAATTTCTAATTCTTTGCCATCACAAAAAGAGCTGCTGTAAATATTTTTGTACATGTGGGTTCTTTTCCCTTTTTTATGATCTCTTTAGGATATAGACCTAGAAGTGGTATTGCTGGATCAAAGGGTATAGTTTTAGAGCCCTTTGGGCATAGTTCCAAACTGTTCTCCAGAATGGTTGGATCATTTCACAACTCCACCAACAATGCATTAGTGTTCCAATTTTCCCACATCTCCAACCTTTATCATTTTCTTTTTTTTTTTTTGTCATATTAGTCAATGAGGTGGTACCTCAGAGTTCTCAACAACTCTTATAACTTGGTTTGTGTAGCCTTAGGCCCTGTAGGTTGGTACCAGGGATAACTCAACTGAAATTATACAATTGTAAAGATAGAAGGTTAGGGAGCAGAAGCATCCTTCAGACAGAGTCTGCCATGACCAATAGAAACAAAGTTGAGTGACTAGACACTGGGACACATATATTTCCAAAGCTATTAATAACTCCACCTAGAAATGGCTACTGTACTGTCAGGATCTTTCCAGAAGGAAGACAGAAGAGAACAAGACCAGATATCAGGCTTCCTTTTGAAGGCCACAAAAAAGGTGGCTCCTCCTACAACCAGTGAAACCAATCTTCCAAGAAATTGCAAGGAGTTTCTCTAAACTAATCAGTTAATGTTGGGGTCAGCCTTGGTAAGTAGTCACTGATACTTATCAGATGTCAGTCATTTCAGCAAGGTACCAGTACACATGTCATCATCATCCATAGAGAAATGCATTTCAAGAGTCTCTAACAAAGGTATACATCAGGATTTTTAGGCACAAAACAACAGTAATTCAAATTGTATGCATTTAATGTGAGAAAAAAAACAAACAAAATTCCATCCAGTTTGTGCATTTCAGCATTGTGTGTTCGTGAACATGGTGGTAACTGAAAGAACTGGTAAAATTTCCTACTGTCTGATCTAGACATTGGCTCAATGTACTGTCAAGATCTCTTTTCAGTGTTACCTATGTACCTCAGCCTCTGAAAATGTTTTCTTTGCTCATTTTATCTTAACACCAACCCTAGGAAGTCTGTTATTGTCCTCATTTTTCAGATGGAGAAATTGAGGCAAATAGGTTGACTTACCCTGAATCACACAACTGATAAGTGTCTGATGTCAGATCTGAACTCAGATCTTCCTGATTCTAGGTCCAGCATTCTATCCACGGCTACACCTAGCTATCTAAACATATAGTTTCCCTTGAGAGAATATAAGCTCCTTGAGAGCAAAGACCATTTCATTTTTTCCTTATATTCTCAACATTCAGCACAGTGTCTTACATACAGTAGATGCTTAATAAACATTTATTGATTGATTGTTGAAAAGAATATATCATATTAAAATATTGTAGTGTAAATATATTGTAGCCTGAGAGGCAGTATGTCATAGTAGAGAGCTGTCCTTACAACTGGGAAGACCTTGGGTTCAACTCCTACCTTTGAGTAATGGCCATGTGACCCGGAGCAAGTGGCTTCTTTATAATCTAGACAACCTTGTAAGACTCCAAGTTGCATGGAAGTTGCCAGCCTGAATTGGTAGATGGAATTATCTCACTTTAGAATTTTCTTTACCAATGAAGTCATAGTCCTTACTAGAATTTATTTATACATAGAACAACAATCTAATTTTTCTAGTTAGTTTGTATTATGAACATACATGTATTTTTAATTGATTCATTCCTTTTTTTTTTTTCAGGCCCACCAGGCCCACCAGGGGGTGTGAGAATAGAAGACATTAGAGATACTTCTGTAGCACTCACATGGAGCCGTGGCTCAGATAATCATAGTCCAATATCTAAATATTCTATTCAGACCAAAACTATTCTTTCTGATGACTGGAAAGATGCCAAAACAGGTGAGATTTATATTAGAAAGTGATTTATTAAAATTATAAAATTGATGCTTTGTCCTTAATGAAATCAATTATTTCCATCAACTACATTGGGATGCTTAATTTCCTTGAACCCAGGACCTCCACATTCCTGCAACAATTCAGAATAGTATTTATCATTCTGTCAGGACAGAAGGGCTTGTGTAGCTCAATGAAACTATGAGCTGTGCTGTGCAGGGTTACCCAAGATAGACAAATCTTAATGGAGAGTTCTGACAAAAGGTGATCCAATGGAAAAGGAAATGAATTCCAGTATCTTTGCCAAGAAAATCCCATGGACAGTACTAAAATTATAAAAGAGATGACATTGAAAGATGACCCCCACTGAGGGGGAGTGGAGGACAACTACTGTACCTCCAACACTAATGAAGTGGCTGGACCAAATCAGAAAGGAAGCTCACCTGCACATGCATCTGGTGATGGAAGGAGAATTCAACACCGCTGTAAAGATAATGTTGTTTAGGAACTTGGAATGTAAGATCTTATCCAAGATAAACTGGATGTGGTCAAATAGGATATGGAAAGATTAAGCATCAATATCTTGAGTGTCAGTGAACTTAAATGGATGCAAATGGGTGAATTTGGGTGATCACTACAAGAATCCCTTAGAAGAAATAGAGTAACGTTCATAGTCAATAAAATGGTGAGAAAAGTGATAGCGGGATGTAATCTCAAAAACGACAGAATGATATCCGTTTGAATCCAAGGCAAACCATTCAATATCACAGTAATAATATGTATGCTCTAACCATGGATGCCAAAGAGACCAAAGTTGATCAGTTCTATGAATACCTACAACATCTTCTAGAAAAACACCAAAAAAAAAAAATGTCACATACATCTTAGGGGATTGGAATACTAAAGTAGAAAATCAAAAGATAATTGGAATAACAAGCAAGTTTGGCCTTGGAGTACAAGATGAAGCAGGGCAGAGACTAATAGAGTTTTGTCAAGATAACTAACTGTTCATAACAGACACTTTTTCAACAACCAAAAAGGTGACTCTACATACGGACATTGTCAGATGTCCAAAAATCAGATTGATTGTATACTTTGCTTGTTTGATCGTATATTTTGATTGTATGCTCCAAAGATGGAGTAGCTCTATACAGTCAGTTAAAACAAGACTTAGAGCTGACTGTGGCTCAGATCATGACCTTCTTGTTGGAAAATTTAGACTTAAATTGAAGAAAGTAGGGAAAACCATCAGACTGTATAGGTATCACCTAAATAACATCCTTTATGAATAAGAAATGTAATTATGAACAGATTTAAGGCATTAGATCTGGTAGAGGGTCTGAACTATAGACAGAGATTCATAATAGTGTAAAAGAGGCAGCAACAAAAAACATTCAAAAAAGAGAGGAGCAAGAAAGCAAAAGGACTGTCTAGTGAGGCTTTACAAGTATCTGAGGAAAAAAATGAAAGCTAAAGGGAAAGGAGAAAGGGAAAGATACACCTAACTGAATGCAGAATTCCAGAAAACAGCAAAGTGGTATAAGAAGGTTTTCTTAAGTGAGCAATGCAAAGAGATAGAAGAAAACAATAGAAAGGGAAAGGCAAGAGATCTCTTTAAAAATTAGAGACATCAAAGGATCATTTCATGCAGAAATGGGCATGATAAAAGACAAAAGTGGTAGGTACTCAACAGAAGCAGAAGAGATTGAGAAGAGGTGAGAAGAATACACACACAAAAAAAAATACAAGAACGATCTTAACATCACTGATGATAAAACCACAATGATGTGGTTACTGATCTAGAACCTGGAGAATGAAGTCAAGGAAACATTGCTAACAATAAAATTAGTGGAGGTGATGGAATTTCAGCCGAGCTATTTAAAATCCTAAAGGATGATGCTGTTAAAGTGCTGCACTCAATATGCCAGCAAATTTGGAAAACACAACAGTGGCCACAGTAGTGGAGAAGATTAGTTTATACACCAATCCTAAAGAAGGGCAATGCCAAGGAATGTTCAAATTACCAAACAGTTGTATTCATCACAAATCAGCAAGATTCTGCTTAAGATTCTGCTTCATAAGATTCTGAAGCTGGGCTTCAACAATATGTGAATCAAGAATTACCAGAAGAGCAAGCTGGTTTTCCAAGGAGCAGAGTAACTAGAGTCCAAATTCCCAATATTCACTGGATTATGGAGAAAGCAAGGGAGTTCCAGGAAAAAAAAAATCTACTTCTGCTCCATTGGCTACACTAAAGCCTTCGTGTGAATCACAACAAAATGTGCCAAGTCCTCAAAGAGATAGGAGTATCAGATCACCTTATTTGTCTCCTGAGGAACTGTATGTTTAAGATTTGAAAAGTAGTACAAGGCTGCACATTGTCACCTTATTTATTTAATTTATATGCAGATGCATATATACAGATATACATCTTGCAAAATTCTAGACTGGATGCATCAAAAACTGGAATTGAGGTTGTCAGGAGAAATATCAACACTCTCAGGTGTGCAGATGATACCGTTCTGATGGTAAAGAGGAATTAAGATAAGGGTGAAAGAGGAGAGTGTAAAAGCTGGCTTGAAGTTTTACATAAAAAAAAAATTAAGATCCTGACCGCTGGTCCCATCACTTCTAGGAAACAGAAGGAGAAGAAATGGAAGCAGTGTCAGATTTTGTATTTTTGGGCTCAAAGATCACTGCAGATGGTGACTGCGGCCAAGAAATTAAAAGACACTTGTTCATTGGAAGGAAAACTATGACAAATCTCGACACCATACCAGAAAGCACCTTGCCAATAAACCATAGTCAAAAAGCACCTTACCAATCATAGTCAAAAAGCACCTTACCAACCATAGTCAAAGCTGTGGTTTTTCCAGTAGTGATGTATGACTGTGAGAGTTGGACTATAAGGAAAACTGAGTGCCACAGAATTGATGCTTTTGAATTGTGGTACTGGAGAAGACTTTTGAGTCTTCTCTTTAAAAGTGTATCTGTAATGTTAAAGTGTATCTATACTGTTTAAAAAATAGAGAAAGGGAAATCATGAAACTGTGTGGACTGGGTCTATTATATATGTATGTCATTTAATTGCAAGTTGATCTTCACTGCAGCAAGGCAAAAATTATATTCCTTCCTCATAAATTTGCTCTTCCACTCTTCACAGAGTAGTTTTTTAAGGAGCCATCTACTAGCTCCTTCTCTGCTGTCTACCAACATGCCTGTATCTCCTCCATCTTTAAAAAATCTGTCACTCAGTTACCATTAGCTATCTATATACAATCATTTAAATGATGTATTTATAACATTAAAAAACTAGATGTTATCAATGATTATCTACATATAATTGAGCAACTTTGGGTTCACTTGTTTGTAACAAGTCTTATTGTGACATGTTAAGGAGGAAGATGGAAGAAGAAACTATGCAATTAATTGAATTAACTTTGAAATAGATGATATAACTTTTTTCTCACTAATTGATGATTGTAATATGTCCAAAAATATTATGATCTAAATTCTGAATTCCTACTTTAATATTAGTCCAAAAAGGATTTATCTACTGATATAATAATTGTAATTCTTATATCTATTGACAGGGAAGAATGTTTATGTGATGTTTTTCTCTTGTGCAACATGAACTCATAATTAATGACTGAATTATTGTTTCAGAATCTAATCATAATCTCATATTATTCCATTCCCTATGTCTTATATCCCCTAACCTTGCTCTTCCTCCTCACCATTCCCTTTACTCTTCAGTTCTTTTCTTAAGTCATCATCCCTGCATTAGATATAATTTCCCTTCCCTTTCTTGACCTCTTGATGAATCACTTCAACATGCACTAATTCTCTACTCTAAGCTCCTGCTCTCTTGTCTTATTGCTGCTTATGCCTTGTCAAACTGTAACTTGGATTACTCTCACCATCTGCCTCCTTTGATCCTGTTCATTTGATACTGAATAGAATTGGAGAAGATAATGAAGTTTTGTGGATTGGGTCTATTATACATATGTCATCTATCTCAACTCTTCCCTCATTGCACCAAAGTAAATGTTGTATTCCTTTCTGATTAAATATGCTATCCCACTCTCCATAAAGACTATTCCACACCTTATTTTTTCCTTAAGTCTCCCAAAGTACCCCTTCTCCACCATCTCTGCTGAAATCCTCAAAACTCCATTTTTTCTCTTCATTACCTCACATAATTCAAACATCTTCCCTCAATACTGTCTCCTTTGCTTCTTTATTAAATGAAAAGATAGCTCTTATTTTCAAGGCAAATATCTCTGAATGAACCTTAGATTCCATCCCATCCTATCTTCTCCAGCTTCCAATATCATCCATTTGTTGTTGTTATTTAGTCATTTCAGTCATGTCTTACTCTTCATGATACCATTTAGGGTTTTCTTGACCAAGATATTGGAGTGGTTTGTTATTTCCTTCTCAAGTTCATTTTACAGATGAGGAAACTGAGGTGACTCAGGGTCATATGGCAAGTAAGTGTCTGAGGCTGGATTTGAACTCAGGGAGATGAGTCTTCTTGATTCCAAGCTCCAGTGCTGTCTCTACTGTGCCACCTAGCTGCCCACTATCATCTTCAAAAATGTTCTACCTATTGAATCCTTCTTTGCTACCTATAAACATCATTATTCCTCCCATCCTTAAAAAGTTTTTCATTTGTTCCAATTATAACATTTGCCATCATCCTATATCTTTTCTCTTTCACAGACCAAGTCTCTGGAAAAGCTATCTGTACTTTACATACTTCCTCCTCCTTTCTTCTAAATCCTCTGCAATATGGTTTCTGACCTCATCATTCAACTGAAACTATACTCTCTTAAGTTACCAATGATTACTTAATTACTAATCCTCATCCTTCTTGACCTCTGGAACATTTAACTCTTTTGATCACTTTTTTTTTCTGGAATGTTTTTCTTTTCTTAAATTTTCTTGACTGTGCTATCTCCTGAGTCTCCACCTACCTATCTGACTGCTCCCAGATCTGTTTCCCAGATTTATTTATCTCTTTCTTATTTATCTGTTTCTCTTCTGAGTTCCAGTCTGTCCTCACCAACTGCCTTTTAGACATCTTTTGGATGTCCCTCCCCTCTCCAAAAAACCTCCCCCCTTTTGAACTTAACTTATTGTCAAAGATACCACTATCCATATTCAGGCCCATTGCCTCAGTGTCATCCACTACTCTCATTTACTGTACCAGTGTCCTTCATTTTCAAAGAGGACCAATGACATCATGGAGTGATATCTTGACTTGTATGAGAATTGGGTTTAAGTGAGGCAGAGTTGCACAAAGTTATCAGCCTCACTCTGTATTCCTGAGTCATCAAAATCCAGTGACAGAACAAAAGCCAGGATGACTGGTGATGGCCAGGGATGCAGTAAATGACCTTGATGTCTTCCATGCCTGACCAAACTCTAAGTGCTCCACAGTGCCTACTTCAGTTACTTTCATGGCCATTGGAACACATTGTTCTCATCTACCCATTCCACCAGGGATTACCTTGGGATAGATATCCTTCTAACTCACTGACAGGTTTGAGGCCTGTCAGTTACCCTCAACCTGGTTTAGTTTCTATGCCAAGATAGTTTACCAGGTGTAGCTGTTGTGCATGCCATATCTTCTTAGAACCACAAGGGAGAGTTGGGTGAATCAGGAAGATAAACAGCCCTGAAAAGGGTTTAGCAAACCCTTGAACCAGAGGTGCTAGTCCTCCTGAACATCCTATATACCCCTTTCCCCTGACCCTGTTCTGCTACTTGCTGATTAAATGACCTGAAGTCATTTCTCCTCTCTGGTCCAGTTTACTCCTTTATTTGTAAAATAAAGTTGTTGGACCAAATGAACTCTAAAGAAATTTTGACATTCTAACATTCTCTGCTAATCCTGTCTGAAATTGCATGTATCTCATAGTTATTGATTGTCTCCTTTCCATGTAATTCCAAGTTTCTCTAGATAGTTGATTAGAATTGCCAAGTCTCACTGTTACATGTGCCAAGTAACATTTGAAAAAGGTCTATGAGGCACAGAATTTATTATTCCTATAGGGTCAGTTATATAAAACTTTATAACTCTTGCACTCCAGCATGAAAATAATTTTCTATTTTTTGAAGCAATATTGCATGTATTTCACAATATCCCAGCTTTTTATCTCCTCGTTATTTTATGTTTTCCCCAAAATGGGCAAGAAAATTTGGGCATATGAATAAAGCAAAAATGTCTAGTTATTTTTTAAAAAGTGTTTTACTAAAAGTTTTATTTATTTTCATTTTAGATCCACCAAATATTGAAGGGAATATGGAATCAGCAAGGGCAGTAGACCTAATCCCATGGATGGAGTATGAATTCCGGGTAGTAGCAACCAATATCTTGGGAACAGGAGAGCCCAGTCTACCATCAAACAGAATCAAAACAGAGGGTGCTGGTATGTAGGGAAAAACATTGTTATGTTGCTCCCCCACCCCAGCCCCAAGTTCCCTTTTATAAACTTTTCTTTTAAAAAGTTGTCCTACAAAATGAAAAGAGACCTGAAGAGTAAGCAAGAGTATAGTTTAAGGGGTCTGAATACTATTGTATGTACTGTATTTATTAATGATTGAATTAATCAAATGATTTTTTCTTTATAGGGGCTTGTTTTTTTGTGTAAATGAATAAATGAATGAATGAATGAATGACTTTGTTGTATTCCCAAAGTTAAGGGCAGTTGCTTCATACCCATAATAATAATTTAAAAAATTTGTCAGTTAAAGTATAGTTTCTTTACAAAATATAATTTCTTTACCAATAATTGTAGGATTTACTGACTTACTGCAGCCTATAGGAATTTCTTTGTTGGCAATTTGAAAAATAAGTGGTAAATTAGATTCATGTATATGCTTTCATTCATTGTAGCTATCTTATCAACTTTATCAACTCTCTTACTTTAGGTCCAGAAAGTCAAAATATTAAGAAAAGAAGACATACCCAAAAAATCTTCTAGATAGAGGCAAATCATCCTCTCAAGTGAATAATGTACCCCAATTACCTATAAAAACACCTAGTATTGAATTAGACCTGAAAATCAGAAATTAAATCTATAATTTCAATAATATGAAAGCTATAAAATTCTTATTTTCAGAAATCAGAAATTACATGAGGAAACTAGGGCAAAAGCACAATTTAAATGGAAAAATTGATAGTCTGGGAACAGGACTTAGATATAATCGACTAAATCCAAACAAAAATATTTTTTGTGGGACTAAACTTCAGAATGGGAAAGGAACATAAACCCTTCAGAATTGTCTTGCTAAGAATAACTAAGTCATTCACAGTTTATCATAGTACAATATTACTGTTACTGTGTACAATGTTCTCCTGGTTCTGCTCACTTCACTTTGCATCAGTTCATGTAAGTCCAGTTTTTCTGAAAACATCCTGCTTGTCATTTCATATATATAATGTTCCATCACAATCTTTTACTTGTTCAGCCATTCCCCAAATGTTGCGCATCTCCTCAATTTCCAATTCTCTGCCACCACAAAAAAAGAGCTGATATAAATATTTTTGTACATGTACGTCCTTTTCCTTTTTCTTTGATCTTTTTTGGGTACAGACTTAGTAGTGGTATTGTTGGATCAAAGGACAGTTTGGTAGCCCTTTGGGCATAGATCTACATTGATCTCCAGAATGGTTGAATTAGCTCACAACTCCACCAATGGTTCATGAGTGTCCCAATTGTCCCACATCTTCTCCAACATTTATCATTTTCCTTTTTTGTCATGTTAGCCAATCTGATTGGTGTGAGGTGGTATTTCAGAGTTGTTTTAATGTGCATTTCTCTACTCAAAAGTGATTCAGAGCACTTCTTCATATGTCTATAGATAGCTTTGATTTCTTCATCTGAAAAATGCCTGTTCATATCTCAGAGTTGTTTTAATTTGCATTCTCTAATCAACAGTTATTTAGAGCATTTTTTCATATCACTATAGATAACTTTGATTTCTTCTTTTGAAAAATGCTTGTTCATATCCTTTAACTGTTAATCAATTAGGGAATGACTCATTCTTATAAATTTGACTCAGTTCTCTATATATTTGAGAAATGAGGCCTTTCTCAGAGAAATTTGCTGTAAAATTTCCCCCCAGTTTTCCATGGTCCTTCTAATTTTCATTGCACTGGTTTTGTCTGAGCAAGGACTTTTTTTCCATGGGATCATATACTTTTTTTTTGCTTTAAATAGTATTTTTTTCCCACAATTACATATCAAGAAAATTTTTAGCATTCATTTTTACAAGATTTTGAGTTCCTGGAGCAGCTAGGTGGCACAGTGAATAGAGCACTGGCTCTGAAGTCAAGAGGACCTGAGTTCAAATGTGGCCTCAGACCAAACACTTGACACTTACTAGCTGTGTGGCCCTGGGCAAGTCACTTAACTCCAATTTCCTAAAAAAAAAAAAAAAAGATTTTGAGTTCCGAATTTTTCTCTCTTCTTCTCTTCCCTCCCCTCTTCTGAAAATGGTAAACAGTTTGTACATGTGCTATCATGTAAAAACATATTTCCATATTCATCATGATTGTGGAGGAAGAAACAGATCAAAAGGGAAAAAAACACAAGAAAGAATAAAGTAATACTACCTGTGTATTTCCCTTCATCCTATACTTCCTCCTGTTTGTTCTCTCTTTCCTTTCACCCTTTCCCACATCACTAGTGTTTTGCTTCTGTCTGCCACCTCTCCTTATCTGCTCACCATTCTGTCAGGCCCCACCACCCCCTTTACTTAATCTCTTCCTCTCCTATTATTTCCCTGTCAGGTAGGATAGATTTCTATATTCATCTGATTGTGTATATTGTTCCCTCTTTGAGCCAATACTGATGAGAGTGAGGTTCAAGCAATGCCCATCTCTCTCTCCCCCATCTTCGCCTCCACTGTAATAGGTCTTTCTTACCTCTTCATGTGAGATAATTTACTCCCTTTCTTCTGCACCCATTGTACTCCTCTTTCTCATCCCTTAGTTTTTTTATGTCATTCCCTCTAATACACCATATACCCAGGCCCTCTGTCTTTGTATATTCCATCTGTCTATACTGTTAGTGATACAGTTTTTAAGAGTTACAAGTATGATCTTTCCATGTAAGGATGTAAACAGTTTAGCTCTATTGAATCTCTTATGTTTTTTTCCTTTTTTACCTGTTTATGCTTCTCTTGGGTCTTGATATTGAAGGTCAAATTTTTGGTTGAATTCTGATCTTTTCCTTATGAAGGCGTGAAATCATTCTATTTCATTGACCATATTTTTTTCCTTGATGTATTATGCTTAATTTTGTCAGGTAAGTGATTCTTGGTTGTAATCTTAGCTCCTTTACCCTCTGGAATATCATGTTCCATGACATCTGATGCTTTAATGTTACAGTTGTGAAGTCCTGTGTGATTGTGACTCCCCAGTATTCGGATTGTTTCTTTCTGGCCACTTGTAGTATTTTTTCCTTGACCTGGTAGTTCTGAAATTTGGTTATAATGTTCCTTGGGGTTTTTTATTTTGAGATCTTTTTCCTGAGTTGATCAGTGGATTCCTTCAATGCCTATTTTGCCTTCTGGTTCCAGGACATCAGAACAGTTTTCCTTGATAAGTTCTTGAAAGATGCTGTCCAGATCCTCCTTGGATGATGGCTTTCAGGTAGTTCAATGATTTTGATATTGTCTTTCCTGGATCTACTTTCCAGGCCAGTTTTTCCCATGAGGTATTTTACATTTTACTCCATTGTTTTCATTCTTTTGAATTTGATTGATTCATGATCTCTCATAGAATCGTTAGTTTCCACTTGCCCAATTCTAACCTTTCCCCCCAAATTATTTTTTTATTTTATTTTTCAACATTCACTTCCACAAGATTTTGAGTTCTAAATTTTCTCCCCATATCTTCCCTCCCTCACCCCAAGATAATGTGCATTATAAATACCCCTTCCCCCACTCTGCCCTCCCTTCTATCACTCCCCCCTCTTATTCCTTTCCTCTTTTATTTTCCTGTAGGGTTAGATAGATTTCTATATTCCATTGCCTGTGTTATCTTAGTTCCTAGTTGCACACATAAAAACAACTTTTAATATTCATTTTTAAAACTTTGAGTTCCAAATTCTCTCCCTTCTTCCTTCCCCAAGCCTTCATTGAGAAGGCAACCAATTCTATGTAAGCTGTACATGTGTAGTTATGGAAAACATTTCCCTAATAGTCATGTTGTGAAAGATTAACTATATTTCCCTCTATCCTATCCTACCCCCAATTGATTCTATTCTCTCCTTTGACTCTGTTCCTCCTCAAAACTGTTTGCTTCTGATTACCCCCTCCTGCAATCTGCCCTCTCTTCCATCACCCTTCCTTCTCTTCCCTTCCCCATACTTTTCTGGAGGGTGATACAGGTTTCCATTCCTGTTATTCATTCCTTAAGCTAAATATGATGAGATTAAGATTCACTCATTCTCTCTCACCTCCCCCTTCTTCCCCTCCACTGTAAAATCTTTTTCTTGTCTCTTTTATTTGACATAATTTACCCCATTCTGCCTTTCCCTTTCTCCTAGTACATTCTTCTCCAATCCCTTACTTTTATTTTTATATATTATCCTTTCATATTCAACTCACCCTGTGTACTCTGTCTATATATATTCCCTTCAACTACCCTAATAATGAGAAAGGTCTCATGAGTTACAATATCATCTTTCTATATAGGAATGTAAACAGTTCAACTTTAATAATTCCCTTATGATTTCTCTTTCCTGTTTACCTTTTCATTCTTCTCTTGATTCTTGTAATTGAAATTCAAGTTTTCTATTTCACTCTGACTTCTCAAGAATGCATTAAATTTTTCTATGCCATTGAATGTTAATATTCCCCCCTCATTACCCTTAGTTTTGCTGGGTAGGTGATTCTTGGTTTTCTTCCTAGCTTCTTTGACCTCCAGAATATCATATTCCAAGCCCTGCAGTTCCTTAATGTAGAAGCTGCTGAATCCTTGTGTTATCCGGATTTTGTTTCCACCATGCTTGAATTGTTTCTTTCTGGCTGTTTGCTATAATTTCTCCTTGACCTGAGAACTCTGAAATTTTTCTATAATATTCCCAGGAGTTTTACTTTTAGGATCTCTTTCAGGAGGTGATCAATGGATTCTTTCAATGTCTGTTTTATCTTCTGATTCTTGAATATGAGGACAATTTTCCTTGATAATTTCTTGAAAGATGATATCTAGATATTTTTTTAATCATGGCTTTCAGATAGCCCAATAATTTTTAAGTTCTCTCCCCTGCATCTTTTTTCAAGATCAGTTGTTTTTCCCATGAGATATTTCACATTGTCTTTTATTTTTTCATTCTTTTGGTTTTGTTTTATAATTTCTTGATTTCTCATAGAGTCATTAGCTTTCATTTGCAACATTCTAATTTTTAAGGAATTATTT